ACATGAATAAATTGTACTGAATAAAACTTAGTGGAGACCTATTTGTTAGAGGGATAACTTATACATTTTCAGATGGATGCAGCTTTCCAAATTTGATCCTGTTTTATTTTTTTCAGTAATCTATGCCAGCAATTATGACAATGTTAGCAGACCATGCAGCTCGCCAGCTGCTGGATTTCAACCAGAAATTGGATATCAATCTCTTGGACAACGTGGTGAATTGCTTGTACCATGGAGAAGGAGCACAGGTAATTTTATATGTTCAAAAATATAGAAGCTTTTGCTCAAGGGTACTGTGAAGTGGGTTATGTCAAACTTTTACTATAAATCTTTAGAAGAATAACTATTTCAAATTAATTAAGCGTGTTACATCCAGGAGTTTATTTAGACTGAAGTGCTCTCTGGTTCATAACTATAAAGTTCATGGGGAAAAAAAGCACTTGGTATTTCTAGTAACATTAGTAAAAAACCTAATGCTGAATTTGAGACGCATTGTTTATGAGGCTTTATTTAACTAGCATCACTTAGTATTAACATAGTTTATTTCTAATGTTCTTTCATCTGTTCTTGAAAGTTAAGAATAAAAAAGGGCAATCTCCCTTGCAGTTCTGTTTCTTTCCCTTATTCCTGTAGGGAGATCCTAACTGGGTCATGTGTGATAATGTTACCATGGTAATAATTGTGATTTCACAAATTCACCATTGACTTGAATGCAGGATAATATTTGAGAGGGAAAATCTTTTGCTTGACAGTTCTTTGGTAATTGTACTTGGCAATAGGAAAAACAAAAACATGCATTTCTGTGTTGTCTTCCTTTTGCCATTTTTTTTCCCAAATCTTCCTTGGTTGAAATTTTGCTCCTTGAATCAGATTTAAGCTTGATTATATGCTACTGGTCTGAGAGTAAATTGGTTGGAAAAAAACATATAAATTAGGTATTTAAATGAAATTAAGGTAGGTACTCCCTCAAACTACCAGTACCTCCACTCTCTTTCTGGCATACTTCTTGTCGCTTGCTACAATCCATCACCAGTTTGTAGTAAGTTTCTTACTGTAACGTATCCTCAAGCAGTGAGCAAGGCTGAAGAACAGGGGCAGGCAATTACTTTGAGTGGAGGGCTGCTTATTGAGTTTTGGCAAGTCATCAGAGGGCCACATGACAGGCAGCCAGGAGCAGATGAATGCTAATTTTCTAAATTTTTTAGCAGCCCTGTGGGCCAGGTACAATGGCCTGGCAGGCTGCATCCAGCCCACAAACTGCGTTTAGCCCACCGCTGCTGAAGAACATAAAATTAGGCTAAATTCTAATTTATCTGTCATCGATAAACTAATAGGAAGTAACCCTGTATATACCAACTTTGTGCCTAAATTGTACTTTTGTGCCAAAATGCAGTTTTTGCTGTACCAGATTATTAATGAGAATTCTTAAAGTGCTGAAATCAACTGTTGAAGAGCCTCTTATGGGATATACAGTTTGTAGGATCTCCATTTCTAAATTTTAAATTGACACAAGCTTAAGTTTTTAAAAGAAGATGGCTTCCTGTATACAATGAAACACTTCCATGAATTGTTCTTACTCAAATTAATATGGTATTGGCTCTTGACTCTGTCACTCATAATATGTTGCAAGTCTCAAATTGCTATTTGGATATATAGCGTCTAGTAGTCTTTTGTTGATCTCATGTTGGATAGTAGGAAGATTTTAAAGCTAAAATATGTGAACACCAGGGATCCTGGTTTTCCCTGATTTAAAAAAAAAAATGCAAGTTCTCTGCTAAAAAACCCCAAATCCGTGATTAAAGCTAAAGTTGCTCTACCCCCACCCCCATCTGTGTTGGTGCCTCTCGCTCCCCACCCACAGCCCCTGCTTCCCCAGCCCTGCTGGAGGGGGGGCCCCCAGCTGCCAGGGCTACAGACCCAAGTATGCAACCCCCTGTTCCCACTCCTCACTACTGCTTGCTGCACACTCTGGTGGGGCGGCTTCCTGGACCTGTGCGCCCAGATCTGTATGTGGGGCAGGCTTTAGGGTCGGGTTCCCACCCTGCTTTCCTCCCCCGGGGCCTCTGCAGCCCAATGGGCATGACCTGGTGTGGCAGGGAACAGCCGGGCTATGTAGGGATTTCCTTGCTGTGAGCTCTGCGCTGCCCTGGCAATGCACCTCCTGTGCCTGCTGCTGCTCTTATTGCAGCCCTATGTGCAGGGGGCAAGTTGCCAGGGCAGCGCAGAGCTTGCAGCGGCAAGCAGATTCTCTGTGCTGCTCCTCTGTTACCTGCCACACTAGGTTGCACCCGCTGGCCTGTGGAGGCCCCAGGGGAAGGAAGCAGCTCAGAGCTTGCAGTGGTGAACAGTTTCTCCATGTGGGCCTGCTGCTCCCTGCCACTGTACTTTTCTCCCCACTGCTTCTCTCCCTTCTCAGCCCAGTGGGTGCGACCCAGCACGGTAGGGAAAAGAGGAGCCCGACAGAGAATTTGTGGGTTCTGCGCTGCCTTGACAACCTGCACCCCTCGAAGCAGCAGTACGTGCAGGAGGTGTGTTGCCAGGGCAGAGCAGATCTTGAAGTGGCAAGGAAATCCCTGCATGGCCTGGCTGTTCCCTGCTGTGCTAGGTCGTGCCCATTGGGCTGTGGCGGCTCTGGTGCAGGGAAGTAGGGCAGGAACCCGCAGCCTGCGCCAGCCCCACATACAGTTCTGGGGGGTGTGGGTCCTCCCTGCTCCCCTGGAGTGCGTGTGGTGGCGGAGAGCTGCCCCCCCCCCGCACGAGCTATCCGCGGCCCCATCCAGCTCCCAACTGGAGCCTTGCGTCTGTCCATTGCGGCCCCAAGAACCCCCCCAGCTGGGTAGCAGCCCCAGCCCTGCTCAGCTCCCTCCTTCAATCTTCCTTTTCCCTCCCCCGGAGCTACTCTGCAGGCTGCTGAGGCAATGTGTATGTACGTGTGCATGGCGCCACCTGTCCCACCACCCTCCTCCCAGTTCCCTGAGGGCTGGAACTCTGCTGGCCTGTAGGGAGCTCACTGCAAAATCCATGGGTTTCTCTAGTAAAGTGAGAAATCTGTGTTTGCCTCTGGTAAAAGGTGAAATCTGTGGTTTACTCTATTTCTCTGTTGGAAACAGAAAATTCAAATCCCTGGTCATCACATTATATAAACATGAGACAATTTTGGTTTCAGTAGGGTAATAGAAGAACTTGAATCATTCAGTTTTTAAATTAGATCAGTTGGGTACAATTTCATTGCATTAGGTCTTTTAATCTTTGGATGTTTAAATAAATACAAGTTAAAATAGGAAACCAATATAAATTTAGTATTTGATAGTTTAGACCGGGGTGGGCAACTATTTTGGGCTAGAGGGCCACATAAGGAGTTTTGGTGAATTGTTGGTGGGGTGGGGGGAGTGGCGTCTGAGAGTGGGTTGGGCAGTCCAGGCTAGGATTGCAAGGTGGTGACAGGGTGGGGCTGGAGCCTGAGGCAGAGCTGTAATCCACTCCCTGCATGTGCCTGTGGTGGGCTCTGGTTCCATGGGCAGCAAAGCATGCCCTATCCTTGGGGGTCCCAGGCCAGTTTCCATGGACAGGTAGTAGTTGCTCAGCTCTTTATTTAGAGGCCACTCCACAGGCCTCTGTTATAGAACACCCTGCCTGCCTGTTCCATTTAGTGACCCTTGCTGTAGGTGTGGGGCAGATGGGCCAGAGTCCAGCAGCAGATATACTGGCAGTGGCAGCCACAAGGTGAGAGTGAGCTGTTGGGAAGCAGAGTCTGGCCACTACACTGCTTGGCCCTGCAGCTGAGAGCTGCACGCAGGGATAGCTGTGGTCCATGCTAGGCAGTACCTCCATGCCCAAGGCAGTAAGTGTGGCCACGGGCCAGACAGAATCACTTAGGCTGTATTTTGCCCACCTCTGGTTTAGACTAAGCTTTAAATGCACTGGGGCCAGAGTAGTCGTTGTCTTAAGGCAAAGAAGCATTGATACGTGACATATTGATGTGTTTCTGTTCAAGTACATGCCTCCTGTGGAAGACCTTTGTAGTAGGGTCCCTCTTACCTCTCCACAACTTTCACAAGTACCTGCAAAAGCACTGCTTTCCAAAAGGACTGGCTCAGTAAAGAGCATGATTTATAAAATAGTAGGAACAACAGAAGTACAACCATAAGAGGAGAAAATCTTTTAAACATAAAGGATTTAAACGAAGGATCTCTTTCTCAAGCAGTACCTTCTGTATCAGAGGACTTGGGGAGTGGCTTCTGAATAAGAGCTGAACAGCCACTACCTGTCCAACTTCTGAGTGGCTGCACCTCATCATTGCCACCACCATGGGTTATACAAGCCCTCTCCCAAGGAGGAACAGAAGGAAGTGGAGGCTGGAGAAGGGAGCCTCCATTTAAAGGGTGGGGACGAGGGGCCAGTGGCAGCTACAGCAGCTGCTGGGAGGAGGGAAGTAACACTGTGACCTGTTGACGAAGTGCAGGGGCCTTGAGAATGTAAGGGCAGCAGGAACTTGCAGTCCACAAGCGCTCCGGGCCACCAGTTGGATAGTGCTGCATTATTTTATCCTCCTTTCAGCTCCTTCCTTTAGATACATGTCTTCTGTAAACGCATGCAGAGTTTTACTTGCTGATGATGGTCCTTTTCCATCCTGGCTGGAGAGAGAAGGTGTTCATTGTTTAAATGCTTAGCAAAACTTAATTTTGGGACAGTGTCAGAAAACATTTTTATAAGATTGTTTTTCTGACTTTAGAATTCAGACTGCTCTCGGCTAAAATGGGACAGTATATATACTGTTTACAATGAAGATTTTGCTGTTTTTTTCCTGTGACGGAAAATGACTTCCAGAATGTATCTAATGCTTTTTTAAATTTACTTCTAGCAAAGAATGGCACAAGAAGTCTTGACTCACTTAAAAGAACACCCTGATGCATGGACAAGAGTTGATACTATTTTGGAGTTCTCTCAGAATATGAACACCAAAGTAAGGACATGATCTTCCATTGACACTTTTTATTTCCTTCCCTTTCTTCCATTCATAAACTTTGAGGAAGGTATCTCATTTTTAGCATTAGTTTTTGTTGCTTCAAATCACATTTTTTTTGTTTTGTTCCTAAAGTTGCCTTAAAGCTAAATTTATGCTAAACAGGCCTAGTATTTTAAATCTCCCTTTACATTGACAGCTTTCTTAAGGAAGAACTAAATTAGGATTAAAGTACTTAGAAATATGCAAGATTTGTGTAAGTTCTGAAGTGTGTGTGTGCAGATCCAAATATGGTAAAATCTCTTGGAGCCAGATTTTGTTCTTTAGTAAGTGGTTGGCTCTCATTGAACTTACTGGGAGTATGTGCCCATAAGTGATACCAGAATTTTCCTAAGTATCTTGAAGACAAAGAATTGATCAAAGATTATTTTGGGCTGTCCCATCAATACAAGTTTGGTATCCTTAACACTCTGTAGCATTGGATACATTCTTTACTGGCTTGCAGAGCACACTTTAGTCTATGCAACTTTTTAAGCACTTCCATTGTGGTTGTGACTGATAAGGGGGACAGTACTCCTTTTATTTTTGCAATTCCAAATGTATTATTCTGAGACCTTTGAAGTGTGACCTGGAAAGTTGATCAAAATGTGTCGTGACCTGTATTAAGTTCAATTCACACTTGAAACTACTAAAGGGGTTTTTATGCATGGTTTTCTGCTTGCTACACGCACAAGTGTTCAAACAGAAAATAGCAGTGTTCAGATTTATTTCTGAATTAGCTTGGTATTCACGAAACATTTCTAATACATACATACTTATTTTAAAAGATTACTTTGTAAATTTTAGAGGAGAAGAGCTTAAGAACTTCCTCAAAGTGCTAACCTTAAGTAACAGTGTTTGCCTGTTTGCTTGCCTGGTAAACTTTGCTTTTTATACTGACAGACGTTACTAATGTTTAAGTTGATTTATCAACAGTATTTTTAAAAACTCAAATTTGTCTTGTGAAAAATGAGATGATTAGAGGAACAGAAAGAAAGCAACAGGTAAAGAATTCTTCAATTTACATAAATTGCAAATGATTTGGTGCTAAATTTATGCACTCTGACATTTGGCTTTTATGCAATCATATTTTTTCTTTAATTAAAGCTGTTAACACTACCTGATATTAATCATAATGTTCCATTATGTTGATTGCTTGTAATAGGAAGAAAAGGGGTGTCTTCCTGTGCAACTGACACAGCTAGGCTTTGACGGCAGGCCTCCACAAGGTCTACCCTTTTGATTCCCTTTAACTGAATTCTGTTCATCAATTGTTTTTTTGTTTCTTGGGAGGTGGGAGGGAAAGGGGATTCGGTGGATAGAATAAGTACTTAATAAGGATACCATAGAAATTTCTGCCATAGGGATCATTTCATGCATTTTTTTTCTTTCAGTCTTTGCTGTTATCTGTCCCTCACCTTCATAACTCAGCAGTGGATATCTGCAATACTTCTTGATTAGAATAAGATAAACCAGAAACTAAATGAATATTAGGAAAACATCTACTTTTAATTTTACGTGCAGCATATTTGTATGTATACATGTTTATAAAACTATGTTCATGGTAGGAATCCCATCCGTGTTCAGAATAGTATTTACAACTCTGGACTGAACATAATTCCATCTCTTGCATCTGGGAAATGCTTGAAAACATGGGCCGAAAGTTGATATGAGGTTTGAAGAAGCTAATGTTCAATATAGGCATTGGCAGCCCTAGACACCTGCATCAGAGGGTCTGTCAAACTCCTCTAAGTCTAGAATGGTAAGGTGGGGATGGAATGAGAACAGTAATAGCATTCAGTTGATGTTTGTCTTTTTAACTGCTTTAAGTTCATGTACTAGTGGCAAAGCAAACTAAATTTTGTTAACTTCAACTTTGCCTTTGCTTCTATGGGAAAGGGTGGGAGAGACTGGGAGAGAAACTAGTGTACAGAAAAGATAGGAGGGAGAATGGAGACACATGAGATACAGATTAATGGTTAGATGGTTTGTGAACTAAGTTTGGCATTCTGATATTACAACATTATTTGTTTGTTTGAGCTGCTTAAATAAAAATTGCCAATTTCAAAGCCAAATCATTTCAATTGTTTAAAATCCAACTTGGGAGTTGAGTTAGAATAATGACTAACCAAGACTTTGAAACATGTTGATAGCTTTAATTAATAGTGGTTTAGAACTCCTTTATTAAAGTATGCCTGATATAAATATAGGTCCATGTAACTTTCAGTTTCTTTTTTTTAAATATTGATTTTTTGTTAGCTTGTATTAACCTGTAACAGACACACCATACCTGTAAAATTTAGGCATAAAAACTGCTTTCTGTAAAACAAAGCATACTAGTTTAGAAACTGTATTCATGCAGATCATTCTCCCATACAGGTGTTTTCCCTGGTTTTGCTTACATTTTTTTTCAATCTTAATTTTACAAACTTAAGAATAAAACCTAGGGTCTAAACGCTTACTCTTGATTGTGAGAGGAATGACATTTTCTGTAATTGCAGAATATTTCTTTGTATATAGTGCTTTAGAAGTCTATAAAGATTATTCTGCAAATGCAGAACTTTGAACTGAGGCAACAGTAGTGGAAAGGTGAAAAGTATATGGAGGTAGATGCTGTCGAGATGATGAGAACAGCAAAAACATACAAGTTTGAGTGCAATGTAGTTTGGGACAGTCTACATTGTGCTTGTGTTAACGTAAAGTTCACGTGATCCCTTTGGTTGAAATGTTAATGATCCTACTTTGCTTAACAACTAACCATTTTAAAGAGGAACTCTTATTCTCAGCCAAATTTTAGTCATACTATTTCATAAATACAGGTAAATTTACCTTTCAGGCAGTGGCACAATTTTCCTCCCTAAACAACTGCTCACTAAAGAATTAAAATTCTTGTCCTTTTTCCCCTTCTGTCTGGTTATGTTTTAGAGTTGTTGGTTATGACAGTCTTGCCATGAGTGATCATGTCATTACAAACATCTTTTCCATTTTTACAGTAAGTAGGCAGTAGGGGCAAATGGATAGAGTGAAATAGCTTTTTTAATTCAGTGTTTTTTGAAAAATCTTATCAATTTTGTATCGGAGCCTAGGAAGGAATTCCTGAAAGGTAAAAGGATTTCAAAGTGCTTGTTGAAATTGTCATTCTCTTTTGACTGAGAACAAAAGTTCATCTTTAAATAGTAGAAATAGCTGCCATAATGGGGTGGGGATTGAAATTAAGTAAACCTGGGGTTGTCTTGCTGTTCCTTAAGTAACACACCAGTGAAGTTAGGGAAAACTTACTCTTTTAGGAAGTGCCAGTCACAGTACATGTAATGCTAAGGCAAGATCTTTCAGCTTGCCATGGAGTAGTAGGAAGTCTGAGACCCTCCAAGCTGCTAAATTTTTTTTTTAGGAGCTTGGTTGTGTTAATACTTGAACACTTGAGCAGTCATTTATGCTGTGAATTCATATCTGGCTGCTACTTTCTCTTCCACAGATAGCCAATTTGGCTGCCAGAGGGCTTGTTTATTTAATTTCTCCTGGTGTGAGCATGATCAAACAGCAGGACTTAACTTAGAGTAGCAAATGATAAAGCCAGAAAAATGCATGAACATCTCAGTAAGTGGGTGAATAGACATTTTTCTTATTTTAACTAAATTTGTTAGCTTAATATTTTTCAAATTTTAGATGTTAAGTGTGAATGTCTGATTGAATGAGAATCCTGAAAGTTCTTGTTGGTCCAACAATAACATACTCACATATTGTTCTTCTCCAATTTTCAGTATTATGGGCTGCAAATCTTGGAAAATGTGATTAAAACAAGATGGAAGATTCTTCCAAGGAACCAGTGTGAAGGTAGGGAAGCTCTTCTTACATCTTTGCTTATTTTAAAATAGGTTTAGAAGATGGGTGTACAATGTGAACTCTGTGGCCCACTGGCAAGATGCACTTTCCAATAGTGGGCTGCCACTAGTGAGATCTACTCTGAGCTGTAATTCAGCCTATTTGCAAATGGGAAACTAGACTGCATCTGCAGATACATGCACAGATTAGCGAATCATTGCATAGTGCAGACACCTGACTGCATTGCTTCTCAAATCTCTTTATATTTAATAAGTCCTTGTTAAGTGTACCTATGCGATAGTCCTGGTAGGCTTCATCTCACCTGTCAGCTGTATGCATACCTTGTTCAGAACCTTCAGTGGGTCATGTAAATAACCTAAAAGTTCAAATACAGTTTTTATTACATGAAGTAGAAAATACACTCTAACAGTTGATTTTGTTCTGTAACCACGTAATCGGCAAGGATATTGATAATCCAGTGACTTGAATTACTCTGTTGGAATTCACTACTTCTGAAAATCATACCACATGTATCTCCACTGACTACTTCCGGACTTTTTTTTTTAAGTTATAGGTTGTGTTGGTCATCTTATTCCAAATGGTATAAATAGTTTTAAGGGGCGTTTGTATTTAAGAGACATTGTTCTAGACAGTTGGATACTACAGAGCCTCTTTTAACTTGAGTAAAAGATGTCCAATTTAAGATTTGCAATGGGGCAGACTCTTAATTTATTTTCTTTTTTTGAATTTGTTGACCAGGCCTCATTTTTTCCCTACCATGTCATCACAAACACCGTTTCCATTTTTACAGTGAGTAGGCAGTATGGACAAGTGGATAGAGTGAAATGGCTTTTTTAATTGTGTTTTTGCAAAATTGTATCAATTTTGTATCGGAGCTTAGAAAAGAATTCCTGAAAGGTAAAAGGATTTTAGAGTGCATGTTGAAATTGTCATCCTCTTTTGACTGAGCACAAAAGTTCATCTTTAAATAGTAGAAATAGCTGCCATAATGGGGTGGGGATTGAAATTAAGTAAACCTGGGGTTGTCTTGCTGTTTCTTAAGTAACACACCAGTGAAGTTAGGGAAAACTTACTCTTTTAGGAAGTGCCAGTCACAGTACATGTAATGCTAAGCCAAGATCTTTCAGCTTGCAGAGGAATAGTAGGAAGTCTGAGAGACCACTCAAGCTGCCAAAAAAAATAGGAGCCTGGTTGTATATACTTGAACAACTTAAGCAGTCATTTTGCCTCTCCCCCACTTAATCTGCAACACATCTTAAACAAACTACAGTAGTTGTTGTAATTTATACTATCTGGTGAAGTGGAGATCATTACTACCCTTTGCTAATTCCTGCTGTATTGTGTACCTGAAGCTTTTCTACTCGCTAGTTAGTACAGGACAGTGCTTCTCAACTATTTTGATTTAAGATTTCTCTGAATTTTAATGGCACCCCAGAGGATAGTTTGGGGTTAGACTGGAAAGTAGCTTCAGCAAGATGAACCTGATGTAGGCAGGAAGGAGCACTCCATCCTTTTTAAGGTGCTAGTGGCGCCACTGCTGTAACCATGCGAAACTGTCCCAAATCTCCTGATAAACCTGATACAAGTAGGAGTGCTCTCTTGCCTGTATTTTACTAGTTGCAGCAGCAACAGGGAGGCAAAACCACCTTGCTGCTTCTTGGATAATGGGGACCAAATGGGGCCTCAACTAAATCTGCGGAATAGGAGACAAACTCTAAGGGTCATCATCAATTTCTCATTTATTTTTCATATGCATATTTATAGTTAATGATTTAGTGGCAGATATTAACTAGTTGTTGTGTGCAGGACTGACCATGCTCTTCTCACCTGTAGCATTTGGTTCAGGGGTAGACAAAATATAGACTGTGGGCTGGTGCTGGCCCACTAAGGGATTTTATCTAGCCAGCAATGGGTCCCTTGGCCCCACCTGGCCCAGGAGTTATGGGGCAGCCCAGGCCATAGTGCATGTGGCTGGTCCCGCCATCCCTTGGTGCAGGGTGGAGGTGTTGCGGCAGCTGAATCTGGCTTCCTGGCAGCCCCCGCAGCAGCGGCTTACTGCCTGGCTGCCAATGCCAGTCAACCCTGTACCCATTGCTGGGGATGCTGGATGGAGTGAGCTGGTACATGGGGTCTGCGTGGAGACTGGCCCCAGGACCGCTGGACAGGGTGTGCTTGGTCTGGCATTTGGGATGAGGCTATGGGTGGGCAGGGAGTGGCATCTGGGAGCAGGAGGGGCAGGCTGGAGCTGGGATTGAGATCATGGGGCAGCAATGGCACAGGGCCTGGGCAGAGCTATGACCTCTCTGCACATCCTTGCTTGCGGAACTGGCACCTGTTGCAGGGAAATGCAGGCAATGGATTGCAGCTCTGCCTTGGTCCAGCTCTTGGCCCTATGCTTTCACTGCTCTGTAATCCCTGACCCTGGCTGCCCATCCCTCTTGTCCACCTGTGGCCCCATCCCATCTGTCCCCAGCCAGTCTCCATGGAGACCCAGCCCACACCCCAACAGCTCATGGAAACTGTTTAAGTGGCCCTCCAGCCCAGATAATTGCCCACCCCTGATTTGGTAGTTGATCTAGGTGTTTGCTTCTCACTGATTTCTTGCTACTGGAGCTGGTCGTGGAATGCTTTGGGGCTGCAGTTGAGAAAAGTTAATAAGTCAGTGGCATTTGTGCCCCTCAGGCAGTGGCTCCCAATATTTTTTACTGCGACCCCAAATCCGGGACGTAACCCCTGCTGCTGACTTGCTCATGCCTGGCAGTGCCAGAGTCTGGGACAGGATCGCAGGGGGCGGTGGTGATGAGAGCTGCACAGACCGTGCACTGGGGAGCCCTGCAGGTTGGAGGGGTGGGCCCCCTCTGACCCTGATTTGGGTCATGTCCCAAAGTTGGGAGCCAACTTGCCCTAAGGGAAAGGAGTAAAATGGGAGGTGGCAGTGGCCTTTAACTTCACAAGTGTGACCAGCGTAGGGTAACTGGCTCAGAAGATAACAAGATGGTCAGATCCAGCAGGTAGTTGCATGTAAAATACATGTTCCATCTTGAAAGTCTGACTGAAGTTGAGTGCATAAGTCTGGATCCATCCTTTTTTCTTGAATGTTGTAATAATAGACAATACTTGAATCTAAAATGCAGTTTTGCCTTCCCCCTTTTGTTGAATTCTTCATTACATGTGTTGGGAAATCAGGGTCTGATGTTAGGATTAGGTGTTTGTTGTGTTTTGTTTTGTTTTTAAGCCAGAGAGCTCTAATGATTGAATCTGAAGCAACAAGAAAACTAAGCTATCCCATTTCTCTTGCTTTTGCCTGGCTTCTAAATTTTCTTCCAAACCATGCTGTCACTTGTGAAGATAACATTATGGGGATGAGTAGGGATACATACTTCTAATTTGTTCTGCTTATTCTGTATATGAAGGAAGGAGTAGGTAAATAGGCTTCCTAAAATATGGCTTTAGACCATCTTCTGGTTTCAGCACTGTGAGAGAGTGCAGAATCTGCTGCCTGATGTATTTATTTTCTTTGTTGCTCCATATTCATTATCTTGGTCTTTAGGAATAATGGCATTAGCTGGGGGTTGACAGAAGAGAGCTGCTGTTCTTCTCCAATCTTGATTTTGCCCTTTTTTTACTTGAGGAATTAAGCACAGAGGGGCAACAGGCCCTTCAGTTCTTTAGCTAGATGACAAAACTTCTACCTGGAGAGAAATAGAATATTGTGTGGGGATTTATAGGACACATCCATACTCAAGTGTGGCTTAAACTCAGCATTCACTAATAAACTATTTGGTACTTATCTTTCACAGTCAAATCGTGGTAATGCTGCAGTATGCCTTTACAACACTTAAAGTATCTATCTTGATTTTTTGCAGCCAGCACCAAATGTACAATAGATAAGGATCCAAGTTGTAAACTGAGCGTGCCAGATATTTCTGAACGGCAGGAAACCTTTGTTTGAACTGTTACCAATAAACTTAAGGTTTATGGTAAGCTTACCCAATGTTGTATATTGCTGAAAAGCTCCAACTCTAATTTTTGTGGAATATTTGTTTTTGGCTTTCATTATGTAAGGGCATAATTCCAAATGGACCCTCAGAATAGCCATGCTTCTTGGTAGTGGTGATTCCTTAATGTAGTAGTGTTCTGGAACAGTAGAATTTCCTTGGGACCTCTTGCTTTCAGTTTGAAGGTCCAGATGCAGACTTTTCTGGTTTTATGGAGGCCTGTTGTTTTGCCGTGAATCTCTGCTGTTTATTATGTTTTGAATTCTCAGTTTACAGTCCTATTAGTGATTTGAAAGGTGTAATGTTACATTGCAGTTTCATTTTAATGTGCAGCACTTTTTTAGATGGCTTTTCTCAAGTGTACTTTATTTTTAAAATGAGTAAGCATCATGATCACTTATGCAGAATAACTATTGGGAGCAGGCCAAATAAAACATGCATGTGCTTTTAATTTCTAAAGGATTTATAAGAAAGTTCAGTTATGGAAAACCCTATACAAGATGGCAATTTTTTAATTAGCTGACTGGAAACAAGTCAAAATTTAAGTCACCTGGGTGAACAGAATAAAGAACTCTTAAGTAGCTTTAAAAAGGCCAGGTGTTACTGCACACAGCAGAACTACTAGCCACACAAGGCACATGTTATAAAGGGGTAAGCTAGACATGCTGTTTCTGTGCGTTACATCCTCAGGAGAAAGTCTTGCCCTGCCCAGCTCCCTGTTACTAGTCTACAAGGTGATGCTGCTGACTTTGAAAGGAAATAGATTGCAGTGTGAAGAATGAAAATGGGCTAGTTTTTTTTTTTTCTAGCTCATGCATTGAGCTACCTTGCAGAGGAAGGGGCTTGAAAATTTTATAAAAGAATTTATCAGTGCTAGTTTCAGTGTTGTCACTAACAATATGATTTGTTCCATCTAGTGGCTTTAGTGTACTAACATCTAAAAGGGCATAGTCTTGAGTGAACACGCCTTAATAACTTAGGGAAAACTTAATG